GCTGTTTAAGCTAGCAGGACTGGCCTAAGGGTTATCTTAATTTGGTTTTAAAATAATTTTAATAAGAAAAGGCCAATAATTAATATTCTATTTTAATTACATTTTAAATTTAGTATTTTGTATCATGTACCTGTTTTAAATGGCTGTAAGCCGCCCTGAGTCCGTTGGGAGAAGGGCGGGGTAGAAATTTGAATAATAATAATAATAATAATAATTATATCAGTGTCCTATGCTTACAAGGTAGTTGTATATGATATTTACTTTGATAAACGTGTTATTGCACATCTAAGCAATTATATTTAAAATTCCTTTGGTTTGCAGTAACACATCAGGAACAACTGAGGAGATTCTTGCTTTTTACACTATTTATAGTAAGATATTGGTTCTGAACCAAACAGCAGTCTCTCAATTCAATTCAATTCATTCAAAGGAAAATTAAGCTACATTAATTTGCTTGGCTTCTAATCAATGAGAACAAAATACTTTCAAGGCTTAGAGATAAATACCCTGCGAGCAAAATACTATTAAAATGATAGAGTCAGGGTAGAATAATTTTATATAATTGTGGCCTTGATTGATTTTTTAATGGAGCATCTACTTACTCTCTGACCCCGTGGATTTTTGTTGCATTTTTGCAACATACAGTAAATTCATTACACCCAATCTGCTTCCCCAGTGTATTTCATTGTTAAAGGTATAGCAATATAAAGAGCAAGTAAAGAGATTAAATGACCTATACATTAAAAACAAGGAGAAACCAAAACAGAACTCCTTCTAAGAAGTTATCATCTAACAAGCCTCAGCGTGCATTTGTAAGCTCAGCTAGGAAGTTGTTTTCAACTGAAATTGCTGCTCTGTATCTGAGCTGAAGAATTTTGATTTTTTTTCTTTATCAGTTTCAAAGTCTAATGAGTATAGATTTGTACAACCTGATTTTTAATAGTTCAATTACATGTTTTCAAAAATACAAAACATATATCGTTTTAGAATTTTGCTTCAGTGTTAAAAAATGTCAAATGTAAAAATATCTTGGACTTAGAAGGATTTTGTAACTGCTACATGATTACAAAGTTAATCAAGATAAACAGATTTTCCTGATATTTGATTTTATATTGTACTTGTAGTGACAGAGTAATGTTGCAAGTCCTATGTTCAAACATATGTATTGTGAATATGAAATTAATATTACTGTTGCAACTTTACATATATGTCCACAAGAGCACAAATGGATTCATAAATTTCAACTATTTAAGCTTCTGTAGCTTCTGCAAAATATCCACCCATGAAGTGTAGTGAATGTGAAAGCACAGGGCAAAATCCATAAGTTAAGTTATTGTCTGCTGGAAAACTAAGCAAAAAGTTGGATGAACAATAATCTGACAAAATCTGAATATTCTATAGAATTAGAAGACTGGCAAAAACTGTGGGATAAAAATATTAAACTTACTAAAGCAGTAACATACAAAGAAAACTTATATAAAATGTTTTATAGATGGCATATGACACCAGTTCGCTTAGCGAAAATGTTTAAAAATTTATCGGATATATGTTGGAAATGTAAGCAAAAACCGGGTACTTATTATCATGCCTGGTGGACATGTTCTATTGCAAAAAAATATTGGTCTAGGATTCATAGATGGTTAGAAAAGATGATGAAAATCCAGATAGAATTTAAACCGGAACTGTTCCTGTTAGGTATATTAAGATCTAACTATGGCAAAGAAAATGATTATTTAATATTACATGTATTAACAGCTGCAAGAATAGTATTTGCCCAATTTTGGAAAAATGAAAACATACCATCAGATCAGATTATAATTTTGAAAATCCTAGATTGTGCAGAAATGGACAGATTAACGTTAGAGATGAAGGAGAAAGAAGATTCAATCTTTTATAAAACCTGGGGAAAATTTTATCAGTGGGTTGAAACACGTTAGAATAAAAGAGATTTTAGAGTTTTATTATATTAAGTATTAAGGTTGATGATTGGAAATAGTTGTTATGCTATCAACTATGTTAATTATTTAAAGGAATATTATTAGTGTTTTACCAAATGTCAGTTGTAACTATACCGATTTATTCTTATAAATGTCTAGTACTATATAAACAATAATACTTAATATGATGACCCGGACGACAGCTTGTTCGCTGAATTACGTATTTACTGTAGTTATCCACACCCTGTCCCTTTTATCCCGATTTTCCTGTACCTGCATCGACCCTACCTTTTCCCTACCCATATAAAATCTAATAAAATATATTTTAAAAAAAATAATCTGACAAAATCAAAATAAAAAATCTGGAGGAAAGCATTGTAGCAAAAAACACTTGTTATTTATAGCCAAGTATTTCATAACACATGGACAACAGGAAAAAAAAAAAGATCTCCAGTGACAATATCTCCAGTGATTAGTTTTAAAATCCAAATTATGTCAGGGTATAAAAATCAGTTTGCAACAAATGAAGATATGCAAAGATATTTGAGCAAAAAAGATTCAAAATGTATTTCAATTTTATAGAAATATTTATATTTTCATAACTGTCTACACAATTAGCTGTGGTACAGATGTAGTTCCACTTGCCTTCTTAAATGAATGAATGAATGAATAAATAATGCCTTGTTACCATATCATTCTCTGAATAGTCATATAATTTGTTATATCTGATATAAATTCTGCTTCCTCCTATTAAATTACATGACATCTAGAAAACATGTATCTAAGTCATTTGACCCAAATTGAGTTCCAGTTCCATTAAAATATTGTAGCTAAAAATATTGTATATAAAAATTCACTAAGTTTTAAGTAAAAGATTAAAGTCTACCTTTCCTGTTCTTGTTTCATACGTATTCTCTCCTCTTCTGAAGTAACAGCTCCCTGTATTTTTATTTTCTCAATCTTGTCATCTTTTCGATGTTTGCCAAACCTGTTAATAACAAAATAAAAGTTCTAATTTGTCAAAATGATCGATAATTGTGTAAGATTTTCATTCTTGACATAGAAAATTATTTCCTCGGTGTAAGATGGCACCCACCTAATTGCTTGTCAAACAAATATCAGTTTCAATTCTTGAAAACGCTTATATTTTATTGACATCCCGTGAAAGTTGTTTTATTAAATGTGCAACCAAGTATTGTGTTACTATACTTATTTACATATAAAATGCAAAAGGCTGTTATCATTAATCAAAATACCTAGATGTAAAATCTCTCTCTTTGAACATCTAAGGAATAAATTATTTTTATATGATATATGTATGAAATATAGATACTTTATTCAGCTCTGATCAGCATTAAATTTGATTCACCAAAGTTAGTCCTAAAAGTGCATAGTGCTATCTATTTTAAACTATAACATGGCCTCATCCACTATAAGGTGTTATTGAAAGATGATTTGAGACTACTGTTAACTTTAGGAGAAAGTAATGATATTGGCATTATAAATATATTTTAAAAAATAGAATACGATCTACATCTCATGAATTTCACTTAAAGATGAATTTTGGCCAAATTAATAAAGCATGGCATTTTATTTGTACAATTCAATTCCTTCCCCCACCCAAAACCTGGAACTGTTTATCATGAACAATAACAGATTGGAAATCTTCTTGTCTCCTTCAATAAAAAAAATGATACGCCACTTCATGATTTATAGCATATTCAATACCCAATTTCCCAAAAACAATATAATTGTTTTATTCTAAGCTAACTAGAAACATGTAAAAGTGTGATGGGAGGTTATATAACTCATATAAACAAACAAACAAACAACCTAGATTTAGTTTCTATTTAGCACAAAGCCAGTTAGTTAGTGGATGACCTTGGGCCAGTCACTCTCATCCCTAGGAAGCAGGCAAATTGCTTCCAAAATCTTGCTAAGAAAACTGCAGGGACTTGTTCAGGCAGTTGCCAGGCATCAATATATATTTGAAGGCATTAAAAAAAGATAATGCAGCTTATAATTACTTTATAATTGAAACAAAAGCACTTTACTTTAGGAATTTGTTTTTATGACAGATTGAGATAAAAGTTGCAAATTAAAATATTCTGCATTCCCCGAAGTGTGATAAAATGATGAGAGATTTGTCCCAAAGATGCTTTTTTCACGAGGCAACTGGACTTTGTTTTTTCTTTGAAGACAGTCTGCAATACTGCATTCTAACCACTGTGCCATGACTCCTCATGTTAAAAATGAGAGGACTACTGTATGACAAATCATTCACAAATATAATTAGAATAAATACTACAGGACAAAGAGTCACTGAATGATTAATGGAAATATTTGCAAAAAAATTGAGTTAGACATTTCAGTAATTTTTCTTCTGGAAAGGGAAAATGTGGCCCTTAGGCTTTATTTAGAGTTTCCTGTCCAGTCGTCACTACACACCTACACTGAGAAGGGTTTAATAGTTAAGCATAAATTGCAGATGGCTGCAGATGGGCCGATACGCTCATCTCCCAAATTTCAACTATGCATTTTGTGGAGGTGCATGTGCAGGTTGGCTGATCCAACTTCCTTTTCTGTGTTATGCTGTTTGAGTGCCTCCTAGCCAAAATAAGCATTTGCAGACATATAAAGGCAATAGCTATGCAACCATTATGGAATGACAGATACCTGCATTCCTTATGTGCAGTGACGGAGAAGTTTAATTCAGGCTTTATCAAAATGTACCATTTTCTTTTGATAAGTAATATTGCTTCATTTTAAACATTACAGTCTACCTCTCGAGGCTGCTGTCAAAATACTGAACTCCTATTGTAACTTTTTTGTTCTACCATGTTTCCATGAAAGTAAGGCCTACCCCGAAAATAAGCCCTAGCTTGATTTTTGGAGGTGGGCCTAATATAAGACCAACCCCAAAATAAGTCCTAGTTTTGGGGCAAGGCACACACATAAAAACTAAACTAGAGCGGGAGTGGGGGTGGAGCTGCCCCAGGTGCCCTGCATCCACTTACCAGGCCTCCATGAATGGACACCTGCCTCTCCTCACCAACCCACTTCTTCTGCGGAGTACCCCGGCTAGCATTTCGTAGTCAGACACCTTTCCGGAAGGCCTCTGCAGCCGAGAACTGAGCTATGGATTCAATCCATAGCTTGGTTCTCAGCTGCAGAATGAAACTGTTCCTTTGGCCACAGAAGAAGTGGCCCAGCTGGGTGGGGCTATCAGTACCATTGCCACAAGGTGAATGGAAAAGACACCCCCTGAAAATAAGACCTGGTGCCTCTTTTGGAGACAAAAAAAATAAGACCGGGGAAACACAGTATAATCAAACTGGATGGCAGTTTACACTATAAGCTATAGGAGCCCTGGTGATGCAGTGGTTACAATGCAGTATTTCAGGCAAACTCTGCCTACTGCCAGGAGTTCAGTCTTGACTGGCTCAGGATTGACTAAATCTTCCATCCTCCTAAGTTCCGTAAAATGAGGAGCCAGATTGTTGGGGGCAATATGCTGTCATTTGTAAACCACTCAGAGAGTGCTATGAAGTCTAAGTACCATTGCTATTGCTATACATATTTAACACTTTGCAGGTATAAGTAAAATAATAACCCCATGTAATCATAGAAGAAAGGTATTGAAAAGGCAAAAAATGAAAAAGAATGCTAATGATAATATTCAGAAAGGTTTTAAATGTTTTTGAATTTAAATTCTGTAAAATGGTACAGGCATTTGTGATATATGTAACTCCCTTGCAAAAGGAATAATAGAAGCCCTTAGTACAGCAGCATTTGCTAATCATATTCTTAAATATAGCAAATATTTGTCATTCCCAAAATGCTTAACTAATATAGTTAACAGTATACTAACTAATAACTGCAGAAAATGGAGTAACTGATTCTAATATCACTTTCTTACTGTTTATAATTGCTTGTATTTTAAAAGTTCATTGCTTTAGCGTTTTAGATGGCAATTTTAACTTTTTGCAATCTACTAAGGAATAAGATATTAATGAATACCCAAATCACCATCTTCATCACCACCACCACCACCACCATTCTCCACTGCAATTTATTTTTCCACTTTCAGTAATTGTGGGGTAGTGGACTAAGAAAGTGTTGGATAGTTTTCTTCTTCGCAACTTAAGGATTATAGAATTGTTCCAAAACTATCTAGTAGAGAATTCTTGATATAATTATTATTGCATAAACTAGATCCAAAAGAAGAACCAGATGCTCAATTAAATATCAAAAGAGAACATGGAAGTATTTTTAAAGGTATAATTAAGAAAATAAACACACCTGTTTCTCCACTCTTGCAAACTGATATGAATTTTGTCTCTTTAATTCCTTAACATAATTAAATTTTTTGTTAGGCCACTAGTTAGAATTTATTTCCCACTGTGATAGCAATTATTTTCTAGAACTGAATGTGTTTCTCAAAGTTATCTTAGTTCTTCTTACCCACTATTAAAAAAAATAAAAAGGAAGTACTTTTTCTAGGTAAATCTGAGGTCTCAGAAAACTCTGATAGCTGAGATGAAGGACACTGAGGATCCAATTGTTGTGTATCAAGTATCCATACATGTGAACCCATACCAGAATAAGGAGATGTCTCAGATACATAGTACTAATATGGACTTAAAGACAGCTTTTGGTTTACTTCAATTCAGAATCTCTACTGATGTAGGCAACCAACTAAGATGGCTTTTTCCAAAGATTAATTAATCCAAATTCCCTGCAGAGATTTTCTTATCACTCTAACAGGCAACTGACATGGTTGACGCAATTGGTCCCAAGTATCATCTATCACTATTGTTTTAAAAAAACCTGGAGGTATTGAAATCAGTGTAAAAGCAGCTAAAATAATGTTGATAGAAATCTGACAAACATAGGCCACAATTGTTTTTTCCTTTAGAACTGTTGCAAATAATTTTAAAGAGAATCACCCTGGGGGGGGCTTGGGTGGCCAAAGGCTTATTGCAGTGGTTCCCAACCTTTTCTATACCCTACACCCCTAGAACGCTTCTGATAGACTGTGATGTTTCTCTGTGTCATATATGTGTGTGTATGTGGGTATATGCATAATGGTATGTTTTTGAGAGCTGAATGCAACAAAATTTCATTTTAATGTATGCTAATTAATGTACATTTAAAGTGACAATAAAGCTATTCTATTCTGTTCTGTTCTGTTCTGTTTTGTCCTATCTTAGTCTAGTCTAGTCTAGTCTTCTTCTGGACAGGAAATTTCTCCTTAGTTCTAGGTTGCTTCTCTTCTTGATTAGTTTCCATCCATTACTGTTGTCTTGCCCTCAGGTGCTTTGGGAAATAGGTTGATCTCTTCTCTGTGATATCACTTCAAATGTTGGAAGACTGCTATCATGCGATCCCTAGTCCTTCTCTTCATTAAACTAGATAATCCCAGTTCTTGCAACAGTTCATTATATGGTTTAGCTTCCAACTCGCTAATCATCTTTGCTGCTCTTCTCTTTCTAGAGTCTCAACATTGTTTTTGTATTATAGTAACCAAAACTGAGTGCAGTATTCCAAGAGTGGTCTTATCAGCATAGTATAAAGCGATTCTATCACTTCATGTGATCTTGATGCTATCTCTCTGTTGATGCAGCTTTTTTTTTGCAGCTAAAGCACTCATCCTTATACATATTTAGATTGTCCTCTAGGACTCCTAGATCCCTCTCATAATTACTGCTGTTGAGCAAGGTGCTACTTATTCTATACATGTGCATTTGTTGTTGTTTTTTCCTCCCTAAGAGTAAAACCTTACTTTTCTCAGAACTGAATTGCATTTTGTTGGATAAGGCCCAGTGTTCAAGTTTGTCAAGATCTTTCTAGAATCAAGATCATGTGAAGTATTAGTGCCACTTTACAAAGCTTGATAAGACATACTTGGAATACTGCATCCAGTTTTGGTCACAATATAAAAAACATATTGAGACTCTGGAAAGAATGCAGAAAAAAGCAACGGAT